AGTTTCCAACTGTTTTGTAAGTTTTCTTTTAAATTTCAAATTACAGGTCCACGACTAGCTTTGGCAAGACTTCTTTCAGGTGAGTGACTCATGGGCACTAGTATTATTAGATAATGTGTCCCAGCAAATTGGCATTGGGTTTTTTGGCCTTCACTCGACAGTAAGTTTTATCTTGGGTTATATATTAAGCTCATAGAACTGAAACATGATCTGAACCTGATTGCAGTTTTTCTTTTCCTCTTTTTAAATAAAGTTAAGGAGTTTCTTGCTCCCTCTGGCCAATTTCTAGCTCTTAATAAACTGTTGCTAGAGAGAAGAGGTGAAATGTTACCAGAGCAGATGTCGTTGTTAATTACTGATATTTCTGAAAGACAAATGTTTGTTCAGGTAGGCGTGTGCTGCTGAACTGGCAGGTTGCTTGGGTTTTAAGGAAGAAACATGGTGTTGTCATGAAAGCATGGAAGCGCAGCCAGGATAGCTGACTTCTGCTCGGCCGTTCATCTTACCTGTACCTTGTGGCAAACTATGTAATTTTTCTGTACTTGGTTGTAACCACTGGTAGAAGGATGTGGTGGTTGGCAAGACTGTTGAGGGTTAACATTGCAGAAGTGCTTTGAGACGATAAAGTGAAGAGACTGCATAATGACACCTCACTGCTTGAAGGGTTTTCACGTTCTCACACTGCTTAAACTTCATGATGCTTTATAAGTTTGTTATGTATAGTGCAAAACCTATAATTGCTGCTATTTCCAGTGTTTTACATGCCTCTCTTTCTCAGCAAATGTCAGATAAATTTAATTGCTCTAAAATGAGATTTCAGTCTGTTAAATTTTGTGCTGTAGCATAGTGAAGACTCTATCTGATCCTTAGAAGAAAAATAGGCCTTTTATGTTAGAATTTCGCATGTGAATCATCATACTGCTGATGTAACTTGTCACGTTGTGCGTGAATGCTGGAGGTGGTTGCGTTTCCGTGTTTTCACTTCTAGGCAGTTGTTGATGCCGTTAGCTAATGTTGTATTGGTGCCTCTGCTCCAGCAGCTGCTTGCTTATAGCTGAACTTGTGCTATTACATATTTTCTAACAATATTGAAAATACAAAATGTTTCTGCTTTAACAGTTCATGGAAAATGCATGTTTTTAGTGCTGTTAGGAGGTGATAGCTTAAGAAACTTTCTTCCTCGTCCTTTCTTGCTGTGAGTTACCATCAATAGCTATGAACAGTGTGGGATATCTGACTTTAGGGACAGAAGTGGGGCTGATATTTTTGAAACTTTGCTATTCTTTTGAAGAACTGGAAATCTTATATGGGTGAAGAAACAGTTTTTATTTACCACACCCCTCATACAAAGTCTGACCATGTATTCAATAATTACTTGCAGTTCAGGAAAGATGGATGATTACATTGTGTTGTGCTGTTGTTTGCTAGCGCTCGTATGTCTTCATGAATCCTGTTCTGCTGCTGGCGGCATGACTTGCCTTTTCTGCAGTAAAGAGACAGGCTCAAAATGTTTTCATTTTTCGGCTCTTTTGGCTTGAAAATAGGCTATTGAAATGAAACGCCTGACTGGGTTGTGGAGACTGGCACCTATCTTGTGCATCCTCGCCTTTCCCAAATTTCTCTATTCCTTGGCCAAGTATCTCACAGGTTCTTCATAGGCTTCTATCTATTTTTATGTACGTATTTTACCTCTGAAGGCTCCTGACCTGGCTACCTGATGTGCTCTGCTGTGGGAGTCTTGAGCCCGGCGTGCAGGGCTCTGTGGGGCACACGGGGCCGAGGGGATGGTGTTGGCAGGCAGCCCTTGTGCTCCATAGGCTCTGTGGGGCCGGGCTGCGCTGCCCCTGTGGCTGCCTATTCTGCTGCCATATCTTGTCCAGATGACAGCCCACGGGGGGCGGGACACGGGACACGACCTTAGTGGAAGTATGTGCTCCATCAATGGCAAGGGGTTTCTGAAAGAGCTGATCTTAAGCATTAGTCCTCAAGGAGGCTATTGGGTATATCCAAACCCACCCTGTGCGCAAGTGAGAGAGGCGGTTAGACTTTCTCAGATGGCTGCATCTTTCACTTTGTGCTAAACCACAGCAGGCAGCACGTAGAAGCAATACAATTCAGATGAAACTCTTCCAGAAGCTGCACGATGATTTAAGGAGTTCAGTAACACATGGGGACACTGGCCCTGGGTTAGGATGGCTCAGGACTAATATGCAGTACTTGCAAAATATGGAGATGTTCATTTCACAGTACTTCTTCTAGTGTCACTTTTTTCCTCCTCCGCAATAGAATTGCGTAGCAGTTCGTGTTCCTTGTTCTGAAATAATTAGTGCATCTGACATACCATGGTTCCCATTGGGAACAATTTTTCAGCTGCTTTGAGTGGTGTTTTAATCGAAATGTTCTGTACTCTTCCATGTATCCATGTTCTTCAGAGAGGAGTGTCTAGAATACAGGAAGTAATGATATTATGGCATGTAACTGGCATTTTTTTAATGCCCATAATATTGCATTGGAGTCATCCTTTTATCTGAACCAGTCATATGTAATTGTACATAAAATAGTAATAGCATATATGAAATTCTAGAGGGACAAAAGTATTCTTTGTTTTTCCCATATGCACGTTGGCTCATAGTCCTTTCCTGTTGGATGCTGCCTGCAAAACCAGAGGGCTGCAGAATAGCTTTCTTCACAGGGGGTGTGTGTGACTTCCACTAAAGCCAAGCAATAAAAAAATTAAAGAGTTTATTTAAAGTATTGAATTTGGACTTGAATTTTGCCATAACTGCAGGTGGCTGCGTTGGAAACCTGGAGCTGGGCTGAGGATAGTCTTTCACGTTTTGAAATATCTACCATGGACTCCAGTGTAAATTCCATACTTGAAACTGCGATAGTAGAACTTTGTGAGAAACCTTCCACTGCATGCTGACATTGCGCAAAAGTAGTGAAAGAAGCTGCAGCAATTTACTGAAGAGTTGATGTTTTTCCGTGAACTTGAAATTTGAGTAATTTTAATTTCCACTTGAGGTTTTGTGTTTGGTTTGTTGTTTTGGTTGTTGGTTTTTTTCCCCTAGCTTAAAGATAGATTTTAAGTTTTCTCTCTTGCTACGTTGGGCAAGTAGAGCCTAATCTTTTATTCCCCTAATAATTTCCCCTCAAAATGTGTCTCTTTGGGCTAAAAAAATGACTTCAGTTTCTGTTCTGTGGGGGGAAATCGTTCTGACCTAAGCTAGTAGATTTTTTTTTTTTACACATTTCCCCTGTGCTCATTCACTATTAGTTGTCTGGACTGAGTAAAACTCTAAATGGGTGAGTACACTCTTGTCTTGCTGTAAGGCCTGTTGTTGCTGTTAGTAGTCTGGCAGGTCTGTGTGAGTTCTTGGCCATTTTGTGACCTGAATGTTTGCTCAGAGTAGGTGGTTGCTAAGAGGATGTGCCCATTCTTATTTTTCTAGAAGAGCAGGTCTGTGCTTTGAAGAGAAACCAGTACTAGAACTAGATTTTAGTCTAACATCAAATTAGAAGCCTGTTATCAATATCCTGTACCAATTACTAGGTGTGTGGGTACAGCTTTATTGAGAGTGCACGATGACTGGTTTTATTATGCCTGGTCATGTTGTCTGAACACTTAAACGTGACGTCTGTCTTGATTTAGTTTAAATGTGTGTTTCAAGAAGGTAACAACTGCAATTACAACTCTCTTCTTAGATTGTAAGCTGTGGGTGAGAGAACACATACCCATATTTTAAATTTTCTTTTAGAGATTTCTCCCTGTGGAAGTTACCTACCTGATTCTTTCAAAATCAGAGTTGAGTGTGTGTTACTTTAAAACATTTTAAAAAAAAAAAAAAGTGCTCATTCTCTAGACATAGCTTACCTGGGATTAGTGTAATTTACTGAGAGGAAAATATGCTAAATTATTCAAAAACATTGGTTGGAAAATTGACAACCATCATCCAGATGGTGATGGTCTGGTGCAAAAGTGAGCCTATGGATGCTAGTGGTGACTTGCTGACCTGCCATCTGTAAACAAGCTTAGAATTGTTCACTGGTGTAGACAGATTTTTTTTTTTTTTGTCCCCTGCAAAATGTTTTGAGGGACACAAAATGAAGCTGAATTATTAGGTTCTGGCATTTGATAGATGGAATTGATATAAAAAAGCAAGAAAAAAATTGTACTCTTTATAATGCTAATTAGGTCTGACAGTATAATGGTGGCAAGTAGGCAGTACTCTTGCAGAAGCAGGAACTACATGTTTGCAGATATTGACAGTTTCTTGTAAAGGATGTGTTCGTATGGAGAAATTCTACAAAAGAGCTTAAGCTAGAAAGTGAAAACAGGTTTGTGGATATAGAAATTGTTTCACAAATAGTTCTATGAAACTGCTTTAAATCGGGCTGGACACGTGCGCAAGTCTAGCGGGTCCTGGCATACATAATGACTGGAATGGAAATAGGATTTTGAATTTATTGCATAATCTCGCAATAGCATATTTTTGTTGAACTTTGGTTCTGAGAAAAGTGAACAAGTAGTCCCACAAGAAGCG